TGTTGAGCGCTGGCTTCCCATCCATATCTTGATGCTTCCCACATTCCCACCAGCCCATCCAAGAACTATGCCCAGGCAGTTTCCCTTGACCAGGGAATGGGCGGAGCATGCATTTGAACTATGAGCTGGGGAAGCCAGTCAAATCGAAGTGTTGAATCAGCCTGAGCAGAGCCAGGAGGAGGGGCGGATGACAAGGATGAGGCGGGAGGAGGAAAATAATGATGAGGAGGAAGGATGAGGAGGAAGGGTGAGGCACCAGTGTGAGCCCAAGACTCATCAACGATGTTGGAATAAACCCTCCCTCCAAGCTCCCTCTGCACAGGCCCCTACAAGTGTTCATTTTCACTGACTGACTTGCCTCGTTGGGAGACAACCGCTCGAAGACCCTGAAGCGTGCCAAGACACCATTCTCGCGACTCCGACGCCACGAATCAATATGACTGTTGCGTCTTGACGATCTGGGATCGCTCCAGAACACGATTCCTGCGACGCCAACACCGCGAATTAACGTAACTGTTGCGCCCTCACAATCCAGAGTCCTTCCAAATTGCGATTTCTGGCACGTTGACCATGGGAGCCCGTGAAACTCTTGCAACTGTTTGAAAAGGGTGTGCGCGGCGCTGAGGCGAGACTGACATTTTGAAAAGGAACCGCCCTCAATCCGTGAAGCTCTTTGCAATTCTTGAAAACGAATGTGCGCGGCGCGAAGGCGAGAGCCACATTTTGACAGCGACCCGCCCTCCGCCCATGAAGCTCTTGCACATGTTTGAAAACCAAGGTGCGCGGCGCTAAGGCGAGAGCCACATTGTGAACACCACCCGCCCTCAATCCGTGACACTCTTGCGAGTGTTTTGCAACGAATGCGCGAGGCGCTAAGGCGAGAGCCCCATTTTGAAAACGAGCCGCCCTCAATCCGTGAAGCGATTGCCGTTTTTACAACGGATGTGCGCGGCGCTGAGGCGAGAGCCCCATTTTGAGCACCGTCCGCCCTCAATCAGTGAAACCTTTAAATTTGTGTCGAACGAATGTGGGCGGCGCTGGAGCGAGAGCCACATTTTGAAAACCGCCCGCCCTCCATCTGCGAATCTGTTGCCCATTTGCAAGCTTCAGGGTCATAAGTGGTGAGGAAGTCTCAGGCGAAACGCCTGGCCCGCTCTTTCTACTTGGCCTCGCGGTGAGACAGTGAGGAGTTATTCAGAAGAAAAGGAATGTAGAAGGATGGTAACGATTATAATGATCATTTTGGTACTGATGATACCATGATGACGATGATGATGAGGAGGATGATGAGGATGAGGATGCTGATGCTGATGATGATGACGATGACCATGATGTCGACGATGATGATGATGATGATGATGATGATGCTGATGATGGTGGTGATGATGATGATGATGCTGATTATGATTATGATTACTATGGTGATGATGATGATGATGATGATGATGATGATGATGATGATGATGATGATGGGGATGATGATGCGGATGATGGTAATGATGTTGATGATGATGATGATGATGGTCAGGAGGAGGAGGAGGGAGATGATGATGATGATGATGATGATGATGATGATGATGATGATGATGATGATGATGATGATGATGATGATGATGATGCTGATGCTGATGCTGATGCTGATGCTGATGCTGCTGCAGCTGCTGATGATGATGATGATGATGATGATGATAATAATGATGAGAGTAGGAGGAGGAGGAGGAGGAGGAGGAGGAGGAGGAGGAGGAGGAGGAGAGGAGGAGGAGGAAGAGGAGAAGGAGGAAGATGATGAGAGGGATGACGAGGAGGTGGGGGGAAGAGAAGGAGGACGAGGGGGCGGGGCGGACTAGGGTTGCCTCTCTTGGGCTTGAAACGTTTCCTCTTGGAGCCCTCTATGGGGCTCGTCCGAGAGCCATTTTCGGAGCCTTCGGGGTTCTCTGGGAGTTTTTTGAGGGCCCTCTTGGGAGCCTCGGGGCGTGTAGGACTGAGAAGATGGACGCGCTCCCGTAGTTGGTGGGTCATTTTTCCCGGGATGTCTCCGTCGAAACCGTCGAAACCGTCAATTTTCGGTAAATTTCTACACGTATTGTAGTGGCCTCCGGCCAGTGCCGCCGATTTGGGGGGCTCCGGATTCGGTGATCTTGGAGTCGTCGGGGACGCTGTTTGGGAGGGAGGGCGCTCTTGGAGTCGTCGGGGACGCTTTGTGGAGCTGAAGGGCCCTCTGGGGTGTGTGCCTGGAGCGGTTCTGGGGGGTGTCCGGGGAGGGTTCCGAGGGGAGGGTCCTGGGGGCGGTAGCGGCTAGATCTGAGGGGGTGTCCCTGGGACCCCCCGAAACATCTCGGGGATGCTCAAATCATTAAGAAAACGCCAGATGGGGGACCGCCCCCCCCCCCCCCCTCCCCTTCCCTGGGGGGGGTCCAGGGAGGGTTTCGAGGGGAGTGTCCTGGGGGGGGGTCCCTGGTACCCCCCTAAACATATTGGGGACGCGCAAATCATTTAGAAAACGCTAGATGGGGGACCGCCCCCCCCCCCCTTCCCGGCAGAGCCACCCCGGCGACCCCACCCCAAGCAGAGCTGAAGCTCTTGCTTACCGTCTATGTTTGGTAAATTCTTATACGTATTTTGGAAAAGGTGGTGCCGTATGTTATTTTTCCGCCCCCCTTCCGGGAGTGGTTGAGTTTTTGTTTCATTTTGAAAAATCCCAAACCGTTCTGTTTTGGTCGCGTTTCCGGGCCCATTTTTCGCAGCCGTGCTCCTGGGAATATCACTTGTTTGCGGTGGAGGAGCGGGAGGAGGAGGAGGAAGACGAGGAGGAGGAGGAGGAGGAGGAGGAGGAGGAGGAGGAGGAGGAGGAAGAGGAGGTCAATGGTCGGAGTAACGCGAGCAAATGAGAGAGAACACGGACATAACGCGTTCGTGAAAGAGGGGGGGCCACAATGGTGAACTCAGGCTTTTCGGGGCTCCCAGGAGATTTTGGAGAGGGTGGAGGGGTGGCTGGGTGGCGGGGGGGTTGGAGTGGGGGGGAGGGGTTGGAGAGGGGAGTGGAAGGAGGGGTGGAGAGGGGGGGTGGAGGGAGGGAGGGAGTGGAGGGAGGTGGAGGGGGGGGAGTGTGTACGTGTGTGTGTGTGTGTGTGTGTGTGCGGAGGGGGGGCTGGGGAGGAGGGTGGAAGGGGGGTGTGGAGGGCGGTGGGAGGTTGTGGTGAAAGGGGGGGCAGATTCCAGAGGAGAGCGTAGGGCGACGGGTTTGATTAGGAAGCTGGAAGAGGAAACACTCTAGACCACCTCCGTCCAGAGGGCCTTCGGGATTCGTGGCCTGACTACTCTCGCCCTGCATGCACGGTCCTATCATGAGTGCCGGAACAGCGCCTGCGCGGGGCACGACCATGACCGAACAATTGTGCGCCATTCTAGTTATGAGCATAGGGGAGAGGAAATCAGCGAAGGGCTTGGACCAGATCACTTTCTGGTCTGTCGTTGCTTGGATAGGTGCGGTGAGCATTTGGCAGTTTGCGAGTATGTGGCCATTATGCTTTGCACACGACTGGACACCGACTCCTGCGTGGAGAAACCGGGGGGGGCGGGGGCGGCAGGGCTTTTCTTTTGAGTACCAGCCTCCCCAATCCAAGACTTGCTGCCTGCACCTTTCCTAGCAGTGGTACCCGACCTGGCGCAATGTACCGGAGGGGGGGAGGGGAGAAGCAGGGGATGTCATGGAGAGGCTTCGCTAGCCAATTGGATATGAGCTGATCCAGGCCTGTGCAGACCATTGCTGGCTCAACACCAACAGCAGCTGCGCCACGCTTTTGTGCGGATGCTTCACGATGTGATTCGTCTCGATGTAGAGATTTCCAGTTGCCTTTGCTCCCTAGGAGCGTCTTCGTGACGCTCTCCGTGCCTCGCCTCGTATGTGTTAGCTGTAGCTTTTGTTTAGCTCGTGGTCGAAGCCCTTTCTCTGAGACGCCTGGGACTTGACCTGGGTCTCCGCAACTGCAGTGCTGTTCTCTTGTTCAAGGGCGAATTGCCCGCTGGACTTCTCACAGGCCGCTGGGCACAGGAGCGCGGACAAGTCCTTCGGGCAAGTGGCCGCTGCCTTTTCCAACGTAATGTGCGCCAACATTCTGATGCCAGGGATGATCGTCGTCGGCCTCGTCCTTGGCCGACGACTTAGACCCAACCTCACGCATGAGGATATCGACGTCCCTGGACTCAGGTACAGATGCTGCAAGGTTGTGCCGAGCACCTTCCTCGGCGCCACCTCCTTCGCATCCTCTTGCTTGCTAGAGGTTGGGGCCGCTCCTTGGCAGCGAGCTGAGGCGTGTCCTCTGCCGCTGATCTGATGATCCAGAAGTTGCGCTGCTACTGCTGCTGCTTCTGATGCGTGGTGGTGTCGCTCTCTACCGTGCCGCTCTCTCTCGCGCTGACCGCGCTTGCCTCGACGAGGACCCTAGCCTTTGAGGAGAGTCGCGGGGTGGGAGGCTGCACTGCTCGCTCGCTCGCTCGCTCACTTTCGAGAAAGAAAGAGAGAGAGAGAGAGAGAGAGAGAGAGAGAGAGCCGGACCCTTGCTCGCTGGTCTTGCCTTCCGCCGCAACCTCTGTAGGGCCGGGCGCCGCAGCCTCGGTCGGCTCCTCCCAAGACAACGCCGCCGTGCCTCGCACAGCGTCCGGCGCGAGTTGCCGCCACCATGGCCGCCGCCTGCTCGGTCGGCATCCCCTTGGACGCGTGCTGGGGGCCCTGCACTGTGCTCTGCACCGCCAGCATCAAGAGGGCTGGCGCCTGCATCGCTGCTCCCGAGGGCTCGCTCACAACGTGCTCGAGCCAAAAGGTGCATGCAGCTGTGGAGGAGGGGGCGGAAGGGGGGTTTGGGAGAGGAGGGCGGGAAAGACGAGAGGAGGAAGGGAGGAGGGGGGCAGGAGGAGAACGGGGGGGAGGGGAAGGGAGGGGAGGGGAAGGGGCAGAGGAAGGCGGTGAGCGGCGACCACTTCCGAGCGTGACGTGCGGGCAGGTGCCGTGCACTCTGTCCAAGACATTGGAGGGCGGCTTCTGTGTGGTAGCCAGACTCAAGGCCCGCAGCTGCGCGGTCACTTCGCGTGTCGTCTTGATCTGCTGCCATCGCCTCCCTCTCTACCTCTCTGCCTCCATCTCTCTCTCTGTCTTCCGCTCCCTCCCTCTCTCTCCCTCCCCCCCCCCCTCTCCCTCGCTCCCTCGTTCTCCCTCGCGCTCACTCGCTCGTCCTCTCCCTCCCTCGATTTCCGTCGCTCTCTCTCGCTCTCGCTCTCGCTCTCGCTCTCAGCCTCCATTTGTTCTTGCGATTTTTCTTATCACTGTATCTCTCTCTACACCTGCTGAGGATCGATAGCGGAGAAACGATCGTTCTACGCTTGCATTCGAGTACGGATTGATTCAGCATCAACACAAAATTCATTGAACAATCATTGACGCACATTTTAAGATTATTTTTACAACTTCAAGAGATGATATTAACGAGCGGATCTATGAGAACAGAAGGCACGCACGCAAGGAGCGCTGCCCGCCAGGCCGAACCGAGACAGGCCCGCAGCACATAAGACAGCGAAGCCAACTGGAACTCCAAACAGGTCGGGTCCAAACGAGCACGGTCCGGAGACGCATGTGCTCACGGCGGTCACTTCGGTTGTTTACCTCTCCTCGCCATCCCCGTGTTTTTCTACTCCTGTTCCTTCTCCTTCTCCTCCTTTCCTTGTGATTGATGCCGCGTTGGATTTTTACGTTGGCCGCTTGGGCCATTAGGGGCTTAGCCAGCCCCGTTCCAATCAGGATGAGATGGTTCAAATAGAGATTTGTATGATAATGCCTGCGGTTTCTCCTCCTCCTCCTCCTCTGCCTCCTCCTCCTTCTCTTCCTCCCTCTCCTCCTTTGACATTTGTTAGCCTGTTGTCCTGGCCGCGTGGCCGATAGAACCCGCCCCAGCATCCACCAGCTACACCGACAGCAATAGCAGCCTCGTCTTCAACCACAACTACGACAAATACTTCCTCTTCCTCCGCGTGGGTCGCGGATTGACCAAGCGTTTCACGGTGACCGTGCGTGCCCTTCCCTCGTGTTACAGGACCCTGCATGATCTGCCATGCAGGGCGCCCAGATGGTGTCTATCACGATGGTATTGTCCAGCACCGCGGCATCGAGCGCTGCCATGCTGGCCACACCGACGGAGGTGAGAATCACGATGGTGTCTAGCGCTACGGGGTCGAGCACTACAACGGTCCACCACGACGAATTCGAGCGCCACGTCGCTACCCAGCACTACGCAGTCGAGGACGACCTCGGCATACACCATCCGCAGTGTTCAACATAGCGGTGACCTTCAGCGCGTGTACTGCAGCACCGACGAGATTGCAAGAGAGCGCGGATGCTACACCACGAGCCTCACCAGCACGAATGCGACCAGCAGCCCTTGCTCGTACAGCATGTCGGCTCCCAGTCGGAGCGCGTGCAGCAGCCACAACCGCAACATAACGTTCTGGGCCAGCAGCCGTAGGACGACGTCGGGCAGCACGACGGCGAGATGTAGCACGTTTGCTTGATCGAGTTCTGACAGCCTCCATCGGCGTTACCCCAACATACTTATACTATGTGCGTCGGCCCCCCAGGGGCGACGCGCGCATCGAGAAATCTTATAGTATATGCGTCGTGGCGGGCGCTTTCTGGCCACACCGCTCGGGAAACGATATGCTACAAGATGGGTATACTACATGATGGGGTCGGACGCGCGCCTCCAAGCAGGACGTGTAGTACTAGTATGTCCCTGTGCGTCCCACTCCATGCTCGTGGCGAGCTTTCGAACGAGGGCTCTTCGTTTTGTTGAGCTCTTCCTGTCCTTGTGTAGGACGGTCAATGGAGAGGAAGCATGTTGCCAAATCATTTCCAGATGTCTAAGACATGTGTTAAAACTGTTTTCAACATGTACAAGCATGTTTTCAAACATTTCCAGGACATTTTCCGACATTTCCAACACATTTTTATTTCGATGATAGGACTGTTAGGGTGTCTATTGTCGTGGCATCCACAATCCTATCCCCTGCCCGTTTGCCTGCCGTCGCCGATTAGCCTCTGGGGAAGCTAATTCTCCGAAAGTTCTTGTTTTTTTTTGGGGCCAAGATCCTTTTATTTCTAATTGTTCTATCCTGGGCCTCTTCCTGGCCACTAGGGGGCCAGGAACAAATAGAAACGAGCACACTTAGATATGAGCACGATTAGACATGAACGACGTGTAGACGTTCTACTTCTCTCGTTCGGCTTGCGGTACCTTTCTGCGCTGTGCCACTGCCTTCCCTGCCACCTCCTCCGCCTGGGGTCGTGGCTGGGCTTCCCTGCGGGGTTGGCGGTCCGCGCTTTTTTCCGCTGTCGGTCGGTATTATATTTATATATATATATATATATATATATATGCGTTGGCCTGCGTTTCCTTGTCTTCCCGTCCCCCTGCTGTTTCCTCCCATATCCTCTCTGCCGTCTGCGTCCCTCTTCCTTCTTGTGCTGCTGCTGTCCGCGCGTTGCAATGCGCTGCTGTCGCTAGTCGATCCGCCCTGCTCTGGCGGCTTGTGCACTGCGGGTCATTGAGCCCCCTCGCCTCCGTCGTCTCCCCCTCCTCCTGTCGTGTTCGCGATCTTTTAGCTCTTTCAGCTGCTCATTGAAGTGGCAAGCCCTGGGGATGCAGGTGTGTCAATCGTGGAAAACACCTTCTCAATCTCTTCCTTCTCCTCCTCCTCCTCCTCCTCCTCCTTCGTGCCTTGAAGACTATTCGCGCCCTTGCGCCCCACTTTCGCCAGCTCCAGTAAGTAGCGGCACTATCTCTGCAGGCCGTCAAGTGTGTGATCGTTCCCCTCTGGACCGACCTTACAGATGAGGTCAAATCTGTGGTCCAGGCAGAGCTCTCCCTGTGGGCACCCTGCTGGTCTCAATCTCTCGTCGCCCCGAAAGCTAAACATCTCGGAACCCTCCAGGGCCCGGGTGCGACCCTCGACAGTGAATGGGCTGTCCCGTTCCAGACGTTGCGCAGCAGGTGCATTGAGCTTGGCGCTCTTGCCTCTTCCGCCGACGTATCTGCCATATTGTACAACTCGTCGGTCTTGTCCTGCACGTCCAATGTGGCGCAGCTTTACCTCATCAGCAACGCCGTGAGGAAGAAAGAGCTGTGGGGCCTGCATAAGGCCTTGCACCTTCCGCCCAACTCCTTCGCTCTCTCTGAGCTCCTCTCTCTCGCCACGTGGTCCCCCTCCCCCGTCCCCGTCTCGCCCTTGTCCACTGCCCTGGCTTGTGCCTGGCGCTGTGCTTCCCTCACGCTCGACTCCTTTTGGGGCCCCCTTCACCGCCGTCTCAGGGACGCCGCGGAGGCCTCAAGTGCTGCCAGGGGCCTCGGAGTAGTCGACCTCGTCCAGGGCAGCCGGTGTGCCCCATGTTGGCAGCGTCGGCAAGCGACTGTTCCATGCTGTGAGCAGCTTCGCTCCGCCGTGCCGATGGCGCACGCCCCTCTCTCCTCTGAGCGGCTTCGCCTCGCCCAGCGCGGGGCGCGAAGCGCCGTGCGTGAGGCCGCCCTGGAGGGTCGTCGGCCCAAGTTGCAAGGACTCTATACCCGCACCCTTGCGAGTTTCGCCCATCCCGATAAGCTTGAGCTCCTAATGGGGCGTCGCCTGCGGTCTTGGTTTGATTGTCCTGCTCCCCGGAACATGGGAGCGAGATGGGACCTGGGGCGGGAAATCCTCTTTCGGACCCCTCCGAGCGTTCGCTGGCCGTACCTTAAGACGATTTCGGGGGGATGGACCACCACGGACCGAATGCACGTTACAGACACTTGATGGAGCTGTGTTTTCGGGCGTTCCCACACCGATTGCATAGCGCACCATTTAAAGTGCCCCCAACTCACCTACCTCGTTTGTCGTCCTCGAGCTGTCGTCTCGCCGTGCCCCCTCCTCCGTCTAGGGCTTGGGCTCCCTGTGCAATATCCCGCGTTTGACTTCACCCAGGAAAATGCAATTTTAGCAACAGTTCTCAATTTCTAGATTCACCACGTTGCTAAGGAAATCGCCTCGCATCAAGCAGGGCGCGCTTTAATTCTACCGCAGCAGCTAGATGCCCTCAAAGTGGCATTAGCCAACATGCCAAGCAAATACTCGATTTCTCCGCCCAACGCGGCTAGGCCATACAGTTGGCTCAGACCTAGGCGTCGAGGTTGAGTCGTTGACGAACTCTGCGGAAGGTACTGGCGCTCCTCCTCCTCCTTGAGGTACTGGCGCTCCTCCTCCTCCTCCTCCTCCTCCCTCCCTCCCTCCCTCCCTCCCTCCCTTCCCTCCTCCTCTCGCGGGTTTTGGCCGATGCCGGGTGGACGCTGGCGTGTCGCATGAATCCTTGCTGGGTGTGCACCAGCGGCCAGATTTCGGCACACTTTGTAAACATGCTCCGTGGCAGAGCTCGGCTAGGCACAAAAGCTTGCACCAGGCGTTCTTTTCACCCCTCCTCCTTCTCGTGCTCCTCTCTGCCGCCCCCCCTCTGTCTCCACCTTCCTCTCCTGTTGTATTGATATGTTTGGATTTTTCACTGTGGGCCATAGGGGTTCTATAGATACTCACTGACGCCATTTCCCCAGTCCTGGTCTCCGCGTTTAGGCTCGCCCATTGCAGGCCGGCCGGCGCTTTTTGGCTGGGCTTTAGTTTTAAATCGGGCCTGTCCCTCTACAGGGGGGATACTCCAATATAGTGAAAAAGTGATACGTGGACGATTTTTGAATTTTTTTTGACCATAAGGGGGCATTTTTGGAGTATTTAATTTTTCGCCCAAAAACCCCCTGTAGGGTGACAGGCCCGACCTAACTTTGATTTCGTTTCCTTCTCCTTCCTCCGCTCCCCCTTCTTTTCCGCGCCGGCGTCTTAGTTTCGCCGGGGGGGAAAGGGCGAGGGTGGTGCTGTGGCAGGGCGGCCTGCCGACTCCCCAGTCCCATTTCATCCGATGGCATCTCTCCACGGATTCAGCGATGTCGTGATGAAAAGAACGGTCTGGAGACGCTCGAGGACGAATCGCATCACGTGGCTCTGGAAACAGCTTGTGCAGATCGAAAATGGACACTCGTATACGAATGCAGCCAGGGCTAGGGCAGAGAGAGTCTGGAAAGGATTCGTGCCAGGTCGGGGACAGAGAGGGAGAGGAAGACAGAGTGAAGCAGAGCGATCTCTCTCTTTCTCTCTCCCTCTCTCTCTCTCTCTCTCCTTCTCTATCTCTCCTTCCCTCTCTCTCTATATATAGCGCCCTCCGCACGCACCAAGAATCCCCCTTTCTCCAGATTGTATATGAACTTATATATGATTCGTACGATTTTCGGACTTGATTTTGAGGCTCATTTTTGGAAGACTTTTTGGGCTCAACGCAGCACAGGCTCCCTCCGTCCCCAGCGCCCTCCGTCCCCAACGCAGCACACGATACTCAACAGGCTCCCTCCCCAAGCTGAACTTGAACATAACCTTCTACTTAACTCCCTCCGTCTCCAACACACCATCCAGTACTCAACACCCTCCGTCTCCAACACAGTTCACGATACTCAACAGGCTCCCTCCCCAAGCTGAACTTGAACATAACCTTCTACTCAACTCCCTCCGTCTCCAACACGCCATCCAGTACTCAACAACCTCCGTCTCCAACGCAGCACACGATACTCAACAGGCTCCCCCCCAAAGCTGAACTTGAACATAACCTTTTACTCAACTCCCCCCGTCTCCAACACACCATCCAGTACTCAACAAGCTTCGTCCCAAACACAGCACCCGATACTCAGCAGGCTCTCTCCCCAAGCTGAACTTGACAATAGCCTTCTACTCAACTCCCTCCGTCTTCAACACACCGTCCAGTACTCAACACCCGTCGTCTCCAACACAGCAGACGATACTCAACAGGCTCCCTCCCCAATCTGACCTTGAACATAACTTGTTACTCAACTCCCTCCGTCTCCAACGCACCATCCAGCAGTCAACACCCTCCGTCTCCAACACAGCACCCGATACTCAACAGGCTCCCTCCCCAAGCTGAACTTGCAAGTGACCTTTTACGCAACTCCCTCCGTCTCCAACACACCATCCAGTACTCAACACCCTCCGTCTCCAGCGCAGCACCCGATACTCAACAGGCTCTCTCCCCAAGCTGAACTTGACAATAACCTTTTACTCAACTCCATCCGTCTCCAACACACCATCCAGTACTCAACACCCGTCGTCTCCAACGCAGCACCCGATATTCCACAGGCTCCCTCCCCAAGCTGCACTTGCAAGTAACCTTTTACTCAACTCCCTCCGTCTCCAGCACACCATCCAGTACTCAACAAGCTTCGTCCCAAACACAGCACCCGATACTGAACAGGCTCCCTCCCCAATCTGACCTTGAACATAACCTTCTACTCAACTCCCTCCGTCTCCAACACACCATCCAGTACTCAACACCCTTCGCCTCCAACATTGCTCCCGATACTCAACAGTTTCCTTTTCCATCGCGCAACCAACTATTATTATGTGACACTTCTTCCTTTACGGTTGCCGCGCCCGCCTTCCGCCCCCCTTTTCTCTTGGCATCTTCCAAGAGAAAAGGGGGTGCATGGTGCGTGCGGGGACCTATACATACATACATATATATATATGTCTATTCGTGTATATATATATATGTATGTGTGTATGCATATACTTATGTATGTGTGCATGATGCATGCATGCATGCATGCATGTATATGCATGCATGCATGTATGTATGTGTGTGTATGTGTGACTGCATGCATGCATATTTGTTTGTATGTTCGTTTGTTTGCATGTATGTTTATATGTATGTATGTCGTATGCATGCATGTATATATGCATGCATCTATGTAATTACATATGTATGCATGCAGTCATGCATTCATGCATGCATGCATGCATACACGTATGTATGTATGTATGTATGTATGTATGTATGTATGTATGTGTGCACGTATGTATAGATGACTGAACGCATGTACATACATATATCTGCCTGTCTGTCTGCCTGTCTGTCTGTCTGTCTGTCTGTCTGTATGCATGTATGTATGCATGTATGTATGTATGTATGTATATGTGTATGTATGTATGTGTGTATGTATGTATGTATGTATGTATGTATGTATGTATGTATGTATGTATGTATGTTTGTATGCATGTATGTATGTATGTATGTATGTATGTATGTATGTATGTATGTATGTATGTATGTATATGTATATATATTTGTATTTATATACATGTGTACATATATATATGTATATATGTATATATGTATATATGTATATATGTATATATGTATATATGTATATATGTATATGTATATATATATGTATGATCATGGCCTTCGGCACATTCTTGGGAGCCTCTTTGGGGCTCTTGGGAGCTTCTTGAGAGCCTCTTGGGGCTTCCTGGGGGCTTCTTGGAGGCTTCTTGGGGCCACTTTGGGGATTCTTGGGAACTTCTTGGGGCCTCCTGGGGGCCTCTTGGGGCGGTGAGCTCGAAATGTCGTTTGCGTTCCCTCTGTGGTGCCCCTCTTGGGGCCCTCTTAGGGCCTCTTGGGCCGTCTTGTGGGCCTCTTGCGCCGTCTCGGCGACCTCTTGGCGGCCTCTTAGGCCGTCTTGGGGCGATTCGAAGGGGTCCCCTTGGGCCGTGTTAGAGCGTCGGGACGCAGAAAAGGTAGAACCGCGAACCTTGTCGAAACCAGAAGAGATTCAAGGAATTTTGCCTCTTTGAGCCGTCTTGCGGGTGCTCTTGGAAGCCTTTCAGGGCGTCTTGGAGGCGTCTTGGGCCGCCTGGAGGCCATCTTGGGCGTCTCGGAGCGATCTTTTAGTGAGTATGGGCCCTCTTGCACTGTTTGGGCGGCTTTCGTGGCCCCCTTTGGGTCCCTCCTGGGCGAGGGGACCGTCCTAGAAGCCCACGCGGGTCACTCGGGAAGCGCCCTGCAGCGCCCGGGAATACCAGGAATTTCGTGATCCGGGCCCTCACGAACCTGACAACATCTCCATGCACCCTTCAGAGCTGCATGAGCTTTGGGGCACTCCACTTTGTGCTGAAGACCGTGTATCGTGCACACACACACACATATGTGTAGATGCATATATGTGTGTATATATATATACACATATATCTATGTTTATAGATATGTGTATATATGTAGATATGTATATATATATATATACATAGATATCTATATGTATATATGTATGCATGTATATATATATGTGCACATCGATATATTCATTTACATGGGTACGCATACACATACCTAGATAGAGGGAGAGGGAGCGAGAGATACGGAGAGGGAGGGAGCGAGGGAGCGATGGAGCGAGAGAGCGAGAGAGCGAGAGAGAGTGAGAGAGAGGGAGGGAATCAGGGAGAGAGCGAGATGGAGGGAGGGAGTGGGACACACAGGCACACGCAGGGACAGAGGGCGGGGGAAAGAGGGAAGCGTGAGGTCCGCACTCGGAACACAAATAGTATAGGATTTTGAGTTTCTCAGCCTTGCTGATTTTCCCCCTGCTTTCGCACGTGCCGCTGCTTCCTTGTCCCGCCCACCTTGCGACCAAGAGCGCACTCATTCGTGCCATGCGGGTCGCCCATTTTTTAGGCGTTGTGCACCACTGCCCTCGGCAGGTCGGCGAGCATCCGTGCATGAGTTGTTCCAGTTGCGCAGGCATGCCTGACTATTACAACAGAACTTGAACATGCTTTTTTGGCCGAGAACACCCGTTCCCGAAATACGCAGACGTTCCAGATCAGATGTCCACATTTCGGTTACGCTGATGCGTGTTGGTATGCAGCTCAACCCGTCCAGTGAACGAGTTTCCGATTTCCGCCAGCGTGAACAGGCTCGAAACCTTGACTACCGCAGCGCTTGTCGGCGGCCGAGCACGTGGAAATTGCGAGAGTTGAGGCCACATCGAGATTTTTAGCGCTCGTCGAGAGATGGTCTGCGTGCCACGCACCGCGTTTACATCCATAGACTGTATCTGGGTAGCCGCCACAGCGAACCATCAAAGACGAGAAATATTTCCTTTTGCATCGGAATGCCATCCTGAGTCGCAGCTGCGTGCGGCAACATGCCTCGGCGCATCGACACATAAGTTTGTCGATGGGCTGGCGTCTTTGCAGCCCAGACCGTCGCCTAGGCGGTTGCTCACGCGTGCCTGACGCCATCCTCACCGCCCTTCCTCGTCGTCTCTCCTCCTCGCCCCTGCCATTTCATGACAAAGCAGATGGCAGAACTCCACAGCGGGAAGGAGTGCGCAAACACCGAGATACGCACTCAGACCTGCTCGTCCTCCCCCTGCAGCCGCCTGGGCCCGAGATGCGCGCCGCGTGCCTCAGCCGCCCACTGCTCAGTAGCCCGCGCGCCCTGCGAGCTGCTCGCCCCCGCCCCTGTCGGGCCCGCGCCCTGCCGCGCTCTGCGCAGGCGCCCAGGGCCTCCCCTGCCGCGCTCCTGGCGGCGCCCGCGCTCGCCGCAGCTGGCGGCCGCCTCGCCCGCGCGCGTGGTCGCAGGGCACCGCTCTGGCGCCCGCTCGGCGGCCGCGGTGCGAGCGGTGCTGCCTCGAGCGCGGCGGCCGACATGGCCTCGGGCTCCCGGCCCCTGCTGACGGACGCCCTCGTCTGGGTGGACTGTGAGATGACGGGGCTGGGCTCGCACGGGGGGCCAGGGGCGGACGCGCTGCTGGAGGTGGCCTGCCTGATCACCGATGGCAGCCTGAGGCCGGTGGCCGAGGGGCCCGACCTGGTGATCCATCACCCCGACGATGTCCTGGACGGTATGAACGACTGGTGCAAGCGGCAATTTGGGTGGAGGGGTGGCGGCGATGTCGAGCCTGGCCTGCTGGCAGACTCCGTGCGGAAGTCCACCGTGACCTTGGAGGAGGCAGACCAGCAGCTGCTGGAGTTCGTCTCTGGGCATGTGGCGAAGGGTGCAGGGGTTCTCGCAGGGAACACGGTTCACATGGACAAGCGCTTCCTCGACAAATTTTGCCCCAAGTTCATGGCTCACCTTCACTACCGCTTGGTCGACGTGAGCACGGTGAAAGAACTTTGCCGTCGGTGGCACCCGGACGCTTTTTCACGGGCCCCCAAGAAGAAGGGCGCGCACCGGGCGATGGACGACATCCGCGAGAGCCTAGCAGAACTGGAGTTCTATCAGGGCGCCATTTTCCGCCATGCGGGGGGGCCTGGCTGATTAGGACGGCCACTTGCCACGGCCCAGGGGCTCTGATGGGGCGGACAGACCTGCGTCCTGGCGGCTGCCGTGGGCGCACAGGCTTGCCCAGCGACTCCGTGCGCTCTTCGTTTCTTCCCCCCTGGCCTGAGTCGCTGGGAGAGAGCCAGTAAGTCGGTCCGCTTGTGAGCATCCTCGCTGCCTGGTTGACAGTCGTATTTGGCATCGCTGCTGCTGGGGCCTGTCATCGTCATGTGAATGCTATTGTCACACTTGTGCTTGACCCACTCTTCCTTCTGCACCTGCTCGCCTCCTCCACACTCCCTTCGAGAGCAGGGTGTATACGCGGAGGAAGACAAGGGCATCGTGTTCCTGACAGCCCGCCTTGGGATCAAACCTGCTGGCCAGAGTTTCACGCCGTGGTTTTCGGTCATGGCCAGTCGTGTTGTGCGGGGCTTTGCGTGGCCATCGAACCTGCGCTAGGGTATGGCTCATCCCCTCCCCCTGCTTCTGCCCCTCTCCCTGGGATTCTGGTGCAGGGCCGACGAAACGACCACCCAAACGGTTCAGCCTCGCACTCCGCCGCCCTCCTCTCACATCGCACTCTCCTGCCATGCAGTCGTCCTGGCATTCGCCGTTTTCATCACCGTTCCCGTCCTTGACCCTGCTCCCCGCCCCGCCCGTCCCCGCCCTCCTCCTCATCCCCGCCCCTTTGCCTCCCCCGGCCTCGACGGCCCCTGCCCCTGCCCCGAAGCTTCGTTTCCCAGCTCGTCGGTGTCCCCCAGTCTCCAAAAACAGCTTGCCGCGCCGCCATTCTCTCCAAGGCTCTTCCGTATCTCAACTGCCCCAGCTTCCCACCGGCGAGGATCGGCGGGCTGCTCAAGATGTAGTCGACGGTCTCGACGGCAGGGACAATCGGATGCTGCCCCGCAGCGCCAAGTGGCAGCCAGACTACCGGCCGCCCACGGACGCCGAGAGGCTCGGCGCCCTTTCCTTTGGAGAGCTCGTCTGGACAAGTGGTCTCGGGATGCCAGGCTCTCTCTGTCTGAGTACCCTGCTCCCGTCTCCGTCTCTTTCTTTGCGTCAGTTTCTGCCGTTGCCAATGTCTCCATTCCCGTGGTAATGTTTGTGCCCGTGCACGTACCTGAGTATGTCTGTCATGGACTTCGGCACCCGCCACTCTGGGGGCTGGGAAGGTCGTTGGCCGTTGGCCAGCTCGTCGCCCCCCTCCCTGCAAACGATCTCCGGAACCCTGAGCAGGGGGAGCAGGGGAAGGGGGACAACCAACCATCTCACACGCCTTGCCACCCCCGGCAAGCGGGGGTCGGCGAAACCTCCCGTCTCTGGAAGTTCTTTTGAGGCAAGATATCACCAGACAGTTCTAAGACATTTCTGTGGTCTTCTCGTCGCAAGCGGTACCTACACGTCGATGGTTCCCAGGCATTGCCTTCCCCGCGCGCCACCAGGTTCAGCGTCACGATTGGGGACAAGAGCGCCCCGGTAGCGGACGTTCCGGAGGTCGTGGCCGAGCCCGAACCAGAGGCAGACGGGAGTTCGGTCTGACCATGTTGGATGGGGAGTGACTTAGCTTATTTGGATGTTGGATGGGGAGTTGGATGTTGGATGGACCATCCTGGCTAGCTCATTTTACACCTTTTAAGATACACAGTGACTACCTGAAGACAGCCCAATGCCTCCAAGACGGCCCAAGAGGGCTCGACAAGGGCTTCCAAGAGAGCTTGAGCAAGCAAACACATTTGGTTGTCCTGAGGTTGTTTACGGATGTTGGTTTGGGCTTGCGACCGCCCAAGATGGCCCAATATACTTCCAATATAGTTCCAAGACAGCCCAAGAGGCTCCCAAGTCGGCCCAACAGGCCACCCAAAGGCCCCCAAGAGACCCCAAGAGGCCCCCAAGAGGCCCCCAAGTGGCCCTCGAGAAGCCCCAAGAGGCCCCCAAGAAGCACCCAAGACGCACCAAGAGGTTCTGAAGACCGCCACGAGGCCCCCAAGACGTCCCAAGAGGCCTCCAAAAGGCACCCAAGTCGCACCAAGATGCTCCCAAGAGCCGACAGGATGCCCCCAAGACGCCGCGAATTGCCTCCAAGAGATCCCGAGAGACATCCTAAGAGACTCCGACATCGAAGAAGCCTCTGGCCCTCGGAGTCTCCCCGAGCTCTCCAAATGATGCCACGCTCCCCCGACAAGGGCAGCTCCCCTGGGCATCGTTCCTGGATGGGCTGGTGGGGATACTTTTTGTTCGCGAGCGCAAGCAGAAGGGCCGCGCGCCGTCCAAAGCTACAGCTAACAAGCAGGAGCCTAAATTGCACACACGAGCGAGAGGAAACGTGAGACAACAAGAGAACAGCGGGAGGTGAGACTAGCCAGGGCGGGCCGCGCGGCGCTCACGGAGGGGGTGCCATCGGCAGCTAGCAACCGGCGGAGATGCACGCCAAAGTGGCGGGTAATTGGCTGGCAGTGTGGTGCCCCGTGACTGCGGCGTGGGGCAACCCCGCGGGAGATGGCGGAAGCCGCAAGCGCCTGCGCCTGTACGAGGGGCAGCACGCAGGGGGGTGAGCGCGGCAAGGGCTATGCATCCCTGCAAGGGGAGCAAGCCTTCAGGTGCGTCGAAGCCAATGTGGGTGGCGGCGGAACGAGTGAGTGGCGACGACCGAACAGCAGTTCGCGCCGTGGGACAGGCACGTCGTAAGCAGACTGAAAGCAGTCAGCCGCGCGTCGACACCAGTGAAAAGGCCAGCTGGCATGCAGGCGCTCGACGGACGGGAGTCCAGATCGCCAAGACCCGCAGGACGACTGAGGTGTCGGATCCCGCTCGGGGAGCAGAAGGGAACGCTACCCACGCGGTAGGGGGCGGACCGAGTGGTCGGCGGGTCCAGGCAAGCGTCGGAGGGCCGCCGCAAGCCGAGAGCAGCGGTGGGCGGCGGGGGCCGTGGCGGCGAGAGGGCCGCAGAGAGCGGGCAGGCGTCCAGTAGTGGCGGCCCGTGCCCGCTGTGCGGGGAGAGGGAGAGAGAGGGGCCCAGGCGGCGCCTTTGTGCGGAGCAGAGGCCGCTGGGCGGGGGCGCCGTGGCGAAGGGGCCACGGCAGTGACCCGGCTCCGTCGAGCCTTTGTGCCCCGGAGCCAGAGGCGAGGGCAGAGGCGTTGAAGGGGCCCCTTGCGGGCCACGCGGGGCGTGGGGCAGGGGGGGGGGTGGCTCGGCGCCAGGGGGCGGGGAGCCACGAGCTGGACCGGCGGCGAAGACCGCGCCGGTGGGCAAGGGACCGGCGGGGCCAGGCGCGAGCCGACAGCCCCAGCCGGGGCGCGCGCCTGGCAGTATTGGGCGCGAGGCTAAGGCGGCCCCCGGGGGGGCCGCGGGGAGGGCCGGCGTAGGGGACCAGCGGGCTACGGCGGGGTGGGAAGAGGGCGAGGGCGACACCCCAGCCCGCGCGGCGCAGAGCGCGGACGCGACCCGCGCTCGCGGGAGTGCGTGAGGAGGAGGGGGGAGGGAAGCGCGCAGAGCGCGGGAGGCCGGCAGGAGAGCCGGCACCAAATGGGGGGGGCGACAAGGGTCGCGAGCATGGGGGGACGCAGGGGCGACGAACGGTCGCATGTACTTGTGTAGAGTGGCAGAGGCGGCGAAGGCGCAGGTGAGGCGCAGAAGCGACTAACGGTCGCATGTGCTGGTGTAAGCGGCGTGTGAGGGGCAAGGAGCCCACGGGGGGGGCACCCAGGGGGGTCAGGAGGGGGGTCTCCAGGGAGGGGGCGCGCACCCCACGGTGGTGCGTGCCAGAACCGCTGCGCTGCTGCTCCTAGTCGCGAGCTAGGAGCGGGGCAGGATCAGCGGCCAACCGCGGCCCCGCAGCTCATGACCTCTCGAGTGGGAGCGGGGTCTGTAGGGGTGGCTCCCAAACCCCCAGGGTGCCTACGTGGACGTGGCAGAAGGGGCGCGCGTCCCGGGGTGGGCGAGCCGCGGCGTCGGCTGCCAAGAGGTCTGGTGTGTGGACCCCAGACAGAGGGGTCGGCTGCGGTGGGTGTACAGTGGCGGTGGGGGCCCAGGCCCCGGCGGAGGGAGCTTACCGATGCTCCCAGGGTCGGCGGCTGCTCGAGGCGCTGCTGGAGGAGCCCTGGCCTCGGTGCAAGGTCGCACTGGCTGCACGGTTGTCCTTCCCCTTGCCCTTGTGTGAGCCGCCCTTTCCCTTCCCCCGAGTGGCAAACTTCTCGCGGATGACCGACCAATTGACTCCGAGGCGGTTGGCTCTGTCCATGGTCAGCGGGATGTGGTCGTGACGACGCCATTCCCGGAGGAAGTCCTCGCAGGAATTGGGGTCCTGCCTGAAGGGATCTGCGCAGGCGGGTCTGTTCCTGGGGGGGTGCCTGTTGTACCGCTGGTGCCAGATTCCGCTGAAGTACTCCCCGAGCTCTCTCTGGAGGCGGTTCACCACGGCGGCGCTGTTCTCGCTGCCAGGAGGGGTAAAGGTCGACCTCGTTCAGGGGGGCCTTGTGCATGTACCAGCCCGTGTCCGGGTCGGTCAGGCCGCTCGGGGGGGCCGTGCTGGGCCCTGAGACGATCCAGCCTGGGGTGTGCGGTCGTTGGGTCCGCGCGGGGCCCGGGGACGGCCCACGTTGGGCGGAGTCGTCCCCGTCTCTCCAGTCGGTCCAGCCCCTCCTCTCGCGACTGTTGGCCTCGCGGTCGGTGCCGCTGTGCCTGTGGGCTCTCCCAGCGCGGTAGTTGTCCCCTAGGCCTCCGCGGTTGTCCGTGTCACGCGTGGCGGCCTCGCCCTGGCGGCGGTACCCTCGGGGAGGAGCGCCGGGCGCGGGAGAGGGGGCCCTGCTGCTTGGTGGGGCGTCGGCAGCCCCATCGCCTCCGATGTTGAGGGGGTCGGCCGCGCTAGACGCGGCGGCGGGCGAAGCTGGGCTGCCAGACTGAGTGTCCGCTGGGGGGCTTGGAGCGGCGTCGCCTCCCGTTCGTGTTGGGGCGGAGATGGAGGTCGGGCTGAGCTCGACGACCGCCTCCGGTCTGACCGGCGGCGCGGCGCTGGCGGGGGCGGGTGCGTCTTCGGGTGCCTCAGCGGGGGAGGTGTCGGTGACGGACTCGGTGGACTCCTCCTGGGCGGCGCTACCACCTGCGGGGGCGCTCAAGGTTGCGCAGACCCTGCGTACGGGGGTCACTGGGGCCCGCGGCTGCGCTCCGCCGGCAGGGTTCGCAGGGGGGCCCGAGTCTGCGCTGTCGTTCTGCCGGGGGGCAGAGCTGTGCCCGGGGGGGCGAGCTGTCTCGTGGCAGGCGGGCTCTGGAGACGGGGCCCGCTGGGGACCATCCAGGCGGGCCGCTGGGGCCGCTCCCGTGCGGGCGTGCTTTGGCGGCAGGGGGGGGGCCCGCGAAACGACGCCAGTTCTCCGCGATGCTGGAGTCACTGGCTGGGATGGCACCCAGCTTGTCGCAGATGTCTTGGGTCTCGGCCAGGGGGCAGTCGTTGGCCAGCTCACGGAGGGACCCTTCGGACAGCAAGTCGGGGTTCACCTGGCTGAGAAAGGCGAGGGGCGTCTCCAGCGGGTGGCAGAGTGGGGAGTTCCCGCGAGCTGGATCCGTGGCGCTGGTGCGGTCGATCCAGCAGTGGCGCATCTGCCAGTGGGGAGTTGACGCAGAGGTGGGCTACGATGCGCGCAGCGGCTAGCCTCTTGCCGTCCCAAGTATACTTGACAGGGCAGTAGTCCTCGGGGACCTCATCGCCGTAGACCTGTCTCAGGAAGGGGGTGAGCTGCCTTGCTTCCCAGCCGTCGTGGGAAATGGCGCCGCGGATTTCCCTGCCGAGCTCCTCCGCGAAGTCTCTCCGTAGGTCGTCCAAGGCCGGGTCGAGGTCCCGAACGTGCTCGTTTTAGCGCCGCCTCAATGGGCCCGGGCTTCTTGTACTTCTGCTTCGGCCCTGGGGCTGCCTGCAGGCGGTCCCGGGCCCGGCGCGCCAGCTCTGGGCCGGACGGCGGGGTGGCGTCGGGTAGGAGCCTGCGGATCTCCTCCGCGGTGCGGAGCGGGGGGTGCCGCCCGTGCTGGTCGAGCTGGAGGTCGCTGGAGGCCCCGCCCTCCTTGCTGTGGGCGCCCAGGGAGGAGGCGAGGGCGCGGTTGGGCTCCAGGTCGCTGGCCAGGGAGGGCTCTGGCAGCACGGCGGGGGCGGGCTTGGGTTTGGTGGTGGGGCGGCTGGGGTAGATGAGGTTGGTGTCGCGGTCGAGGAGCGCGTTGTTCGTGCTGGGGCGCTCGCCCCAGGCGTGCACGAGACAACGGCGGCAGAGCCAGGTGGCATTCCAGTGGCGGGTTATCCGGGCCACCGTTCGCTCCTCCCAGTGGAGAAGGCCTCCCAGGTCGGCGTCCCAGGTCCCTGGGGCGGCCGGCTTTCCAGATGAAGCAGCTCGGGGCAGGGGTGCCTGCGCCCCAGGTGAGGGGCGGGGTCTCGGGGGGGCAGCTGTCGCACTTCGCTGTGTAGCGCCCCGTGTCCTTGGCGTGGGCGCCGAACCTGTCGCCCTCAAGCCGCGCTGATGTTGGCGATCATGGGATCGTGAAGCTCAATGGGCTCGAGCAGGTAGTCCGCTAGGTCGCGGAGCTGAGAAGGCGGTGGCAGAGCGACTCTTCTGGGGGTGCGCTCGAGGGAGGGCAGCTTGTTGGTGGGGGGGGGGGCTTAGCGGGGCCCTTGGCACGTTGCAGGGCCTGGACCCTGTCGTGGAGGGTGCTCCGGGGGGGACAGGGGTGCCTTGCCTCCCCATCTCGTCCGCCCTGTAGGGGCCGCATAGCCACGTGCAGTCCAGCCCGTTGGCGTGCGCCTGGTGGCGGTTCTGGGCAAGGTACGCTCGTATTGTGTCACTCAGCCAAGTGCCGTCCGTGGACTTGAGGTTGGCGTTGGAGCAGTTGTCGCATCGGAACCGAGCCGTCTTCTGGTCGGGGCTGAATCTGCAGTCACCAGGCGCCAGGTAGGCGGGGGTGCGGGTCACCCCGGGGAGCGGCGCGGGGTGGGGCGCTCTGCTCAGGGGGGCCTTGGCGAAGGCGAAGCCGCCCCCGAGGAAGGCTAGGTTGGCGCCTCCTGCCTGAGTGCCGAGCCCCTCCTCGCTACCAACCAGGTCTTGGTGGAGAGCACAGATGCCACACTGAGTGTTCTCCAGGGTGTCCAGGGTGGCAGGCTTGACAATCTGCTCGAGGACTAGCATCGGTGCCTTCAGCTTGAACGGGCTCCGCTCCATGGCCGCGTAGGTGACGGGACAGTTGGCAGCCTGCGCGGCGGGGTGGTGGTGGGCCGCCGGGACGAGCTTGCCCGCGAGGGCGATGAGCGCCCCGAAGCGGCCGTGCAGTCGGCGGAGGTCGTCAAGTGAGAGCCCCCTCACGCCTCTGCGAACTTGGCCCGAAAGTGGGCGTGGTCGTTCTGCCAAGGGCAGCAGATGCCGAGGGTGGCCTCCAGGACGTCCCCCGAGGCTGAGGGGTCAGGAACGGGCCAGAGGAGGGAGCGTGACAATGAGCGTGGTGCGCGCCTTCTCCGAGGACACGGGGGGAGCCGTTGGGGTCGAGCAGGGTCTCTCGGTGCCTCGTGGGGTTGGTATGCCCCTTGAGCAGGCGCGCTGGGGTGTCGAAGTCGGGGTGGGCGAGGTGGCGGTTGCAGGTCTTGGTCCCGCGAGACCACGCCTTGGGGATCTGGTGTTGAAGGTCGGCTGGGGTGCACCGGCCTTTGATGTGCTTGTTGCGGCAGGGTCTGGACCTGGGGCCGGGGGGTAGGTCGTCCGCGCGCACCACATACGCCCCGTCTTCCCAGGGGGTGCCGAGACCAAGCGCCCAGACGATGGTGGCCCACGTCATGTTGTACACCGAGTTTCCCGCGTCCATGCCGAGCTCGACATCGAAGAGGTACCCCAAGTGGTTCCACGCCTTCCGGTCGAACTGCGCGGGGCCGCTGGGCACGTCTTCGGTGTTACATTTGTGGGGGTGGAGTCCTGAGACCAGGTAAAGGACGACAGGCAGTGCGGCACTGGATAGGAGGTCGTCCAGGGCTTGGTCGAGCTGGCGACCGAGGGCGTCCCAGGAGAAGCCTTTGTCCAGGGGGAGGCTGTAGCACGCGTTGAAACTCTTGGCGTGCTGGTCCCGCTTCCTGGCAATGGCATGGTCGATCTTGACCCCATCCTCGTCAGCCTGCGTGGCAGCTTTGGAATCCAGTGCCCGCGTCAGTCCAACGTTCATTCTGTTGGGATTGTCGAAGAAGCCCCAAGTGTGCGGTTGGCGCGGGTGGTGAGAAGGATCACCAGGTGGGCTTCGCCTCCTTGGCTAGAGTCTACAGTGGAAAGGGTGAGGCGCCCTGACTTGAGGTGCTTGCCCGCGATCTGGCGGAGCTCTTCGAAGGAGAGGTCAATGCCGTTGTCGAGGGTGGCCCTCGCCTTGGAGTTGCGACGGTCTGGCACGTAGTCGGCGTCATTAGTCCTCGGTGCGGACTCGGCTGTGCCCCGAGAGCTGGCGTAGGTGGACGTCTGCGCGGAGGCTGCGACAGAGGGGGGGAACAGGAGGAGGAGGGCACGCAAAAGGGCCTCTTGGGATATCTCTTGGGCGCTTCTTGGAGGCCTCTTGGGACGTCTTGGGGGTCTCTCGGCGGTCCTGGAGGGCTCTTGGGCGTCTTGGGTGCCTCGGGTTTGCTTGGGGTCCTCTTGGGGGCCCCCTGGGAGCCTCTTGGGGCTATCTTGGGGCCATCTTGGGGCCATCATGGGGCCCCTTGGGGCCTCCTGGGCGCCTCTTGGGGCCATCTTGGAGGAGATCGGTCAAAGAAGGGTAGGGTCGCAATTCGCGTTGCCCTTGAGGAGCCCCCCAAAAGGCCAACATGATGCCCAAACCCTAGGAACACAAATGTTTTTGGCTTCCTCGCCGAGGCCGTTTTGGACGCTTCAAAGACCTGCGAAACGCCCCGTCCAGGTCCAGGGGAGGGGGTCAGGGGGAGGGGTGAAGCTCTCCCCGGAGGGGAAGAGGGAGGGGTGGAAGAGGAAACGCCCTAAACCACCTACGCCCAGAGGGCTGGTGGGATTAAAATTGTGCCGATCCCATGCCCAGCTGATTCCAATTAGATCCAGCACGAGAGCACAGCGGAGAAATGATGAAGCGGAACAATGGATGAGCAGGCGCGGATGAAAAGAAGGCAGATGATCGGTAATAATACGAATGGAAAGCTCAAAGACCGATGCACAACGAATGTGTGCGGGGGGGGGGGTACCGGCGGCGCACATATTTTCATATTTGCATGCATGAATGTATGCATGTATGCATGTATGTATGCATGCATGCATGTATGTATGTATGTATGTATGTATGTATGTATGTATGTATGTATTTGTGTATGTTTGTATGTAAACATACATACATACATACATGCATGCATGCATGCATGCATGCATGCATGTATGTATGTATGTATGTATGTATGTATGTATGAATGTGCACGTATGTATGATGGTATATATGCATATATATATATATGTATGTATGTATGTATGTATGTATGTATGTATGTATGTATGTATGTATGTATGTATGTATGTATGTATGTATATATATGTACGTGCGTACGTACGTATGTATGTATGTATGTATGCATGTATGTATGTATGTATGCATATATATATATGTATGTATGCATGTATGTAGGTATGCATGCACGTATGTACTTATGCATGTATGGATGTATGCATGTATGGGTGTAATGTATGCATGTATGTATATGTGTATACATGTATGTATGTATGCATGCATGCATGCATGCATTCATGTATGTATGTATGTATGCATGCATGTATGTATGTATGTATGTGCGTGCTTGCGTGTGCATGCATGCATGTATGTACGTATGTATGGTATACATGTATGTATGTATGTATGGATGGATGGATGGATGGACGTATATGTGTATGTATGTGTGTATGCTTGTTTGTTTGTATGCTTGTATTTATGTGTATGCATGCATGCATGTATGCATGTATGCATGTATGCACGTATGCTTGTATATATTTATGTATGTATGCATGCATGCATGTGTGTATGTTTGCATGCACGTATGTACGTGTATATATATACACATGTATGCATATATGTATTTATGCATGTATGGTTGTATGCACGTGTGCATGTATGTACATATGTCTATATGTGTATACTGATGTGTGTAGGAATGTGCATAGGCATGTATGTAGGTATGTATGTACGTGTTTAGATATACACACAACTTTACATATGTATGTACGTCTGTTTGTATACATGCATGTCTATATATATATATATACGCATGTAAGCACGTACACATATATATATAAATGTATGTTTGTTTTGAATATAAGCATATACACAGCACGCCGCCTATATTGCATCATACATTTTGTCTCAGCCGCACATTGCACCACATAGATCGTGCATCGAGAGTGCTACAGTCTACTGTTTGGTGTCCACGCGCTGGCATCATCTTACCTCCTCAAAGAATTGGTAGCAGGGGCGTTGACTGATATATTCGGGCTGATGGTGGCTGCGGCGGACGGAGACGCGTCGCGCCGAGGCGGTCAGCGAAGGTGCCGTCGAGTTGAGTGGCCTGCCCGCAGACTGGCAGGAGGGGACCGGGGTGGGACAACGCAAGTTGAAGGTAGAGGAGGGAGGGGGTGATGGTGCGAGGGATGGGGTAAGCGAGGAAGAGTTGTGTCGTTATGATCGTCGGGCGTTTTTTTTCTGTTGGTCGCGCCTCTGGCTGACCACGAGAGAGGAAGGTTTCATCCGTATGGTTGTATGTTCGACACTTCCGCGGCGATGGCAGTCGTTTCTATTTCCAGTCGGTTTATCGCCGCAATGTTTCCCGTTATCAAGCCACGGGCAAGCCCTTGATGCCCATCGCGGGTCGCAGCGGGTGCTCCATTGGAATCTCCTCGCCTGTGATGAGCACCGTGCGTCCAGTTTCAGTCGCACCAGCTCGCACCAGCCGCATGCGGCTGAAAGTCACGACGGAGTGCAGCACCCACGACTCTGACACCCATCTCTAAAAGCGCGCTGGGTCGCCAGCAGCATGGCACTGGTCAAGACGATGCCGACAGCACATCATGGGAAGTCTTCCTCTCTTGTTGAGCTTTCTGCTGCATTGGATCTGCTGTTCTGTATGGGGTGGTTTCCTTTCTCCACTCACAGGGACTGTGACTTCGCGTGCTGTCTGAGGCTGCGCGTGCTGCGGAACGCGAGGTTCTTTCTTGTCCCATCCCAGCCCTCGCCGTCCTCGTCGTCTCTTTGTTTTCTCCTTCGCGCTCTTTGCGCCTCCCTCGCATGTTAGGTATATTTCGCGCCGCCTCACTTGTACGTCCCAGCCAGTCCGCCTCACGCGTTTCTTACCCTCCTGCCCTTCCGTGCGCACCTGGGCTGGGCTGCTCGCCTGGCCGCGGGCCCGGGCAACAGCTGCCCGCGCGCCCTCTTCTCTATCTGGGTAGTCGCTCCGTGCGGCCTCAGCCGTCGGTCGGCATCTCCACCCTGCGTTGCGTCCTTTCCTCTAGCATGCTAGCTGTCTGTCAAGTGTTTGAGCGTGGTCTGCCAGTGCAGCCTCGTGCTGTGATCTGGTGTTCCTCCCGCTCCCGCCCTCTCTCTCTATCTCTCACGCTCCCCTTATATTTTCCGTTTCTACAGTAGGTTAATAGGAATGTGGGCGCGTATTCTATCATGGTGCATGCCCTCCCCACCCTCTGCGGCGTGTCGTTCTCTGTCCCTCTCTCTCTCTCTCTCTCTTTCTTCCCCTCTGGGATGTCGTTGTCCGTGTCTGCTTTCTATAAGTGGCCGCTTGGGCCGCAGGGGTTCTCCGCGCAGCGCCCTGCCCCCTCCTCCTCCTCCTCTCCTCCCTCCTCCTCCTCCTCCTCCTCCTCCCTCCTCCCTCCTCCTCCTCCTCCTCCTCCCCCTCCCTTCTCTTCCTCTCCTCCTCCTCATTACTTATTCTTGGCCCGCCGAGTATCCTGGGCACTCCCGTGACTCGTCGTTCAGGTGAGTTTTTTTTTTTTTTTTTTCTTTTTTGCTCTCTCTCTCTCTCTCTCTCTCTTTTTTTGTTTTCTCTCTGTCTCTCTCTCTTTCTCTCTCTCTCTCTCCCTCCCTCTCCTCTCTCCCCCCTCTTTCTACCGCCTCCCACCAGCAGCACTGGCGTAGCGTGCAGCGAATGACCCGCGCAATCTCGTGGTAATCACGCCGCTGTTCCAGGCGGAATGCTCCACGGTAGCTGTTTTGGCGGCTGCAATGCCTCTCCCGCATATATATATATATATATATATATATATATGCGCTCAAACCAGTTTTCGATGCGCCATTTCTTTGATGCCACTGGTGTTCGACAGTTCGGATTCTCGGTCATCTCGGAGTTCCCCTTATGGAGGTAACCACCTCACCTTGGAGAGTGTACGGCATGTGCGCCTCAGCCTTCGCTGCTTTCCATCCTCACTTGGGACTGCTTTGGTATTTTTAACTTATAACGGTGGCCGTGAGTGAGGTGTGCTCATCCTAGAACGAGTTGTGCTTCGACGTGCGTGCCGGTAATGTTCAGAAGTGTGTGTGTGTGTGTGTGTGTTTTGCCTTACCGCCGGAGCAGTCACCCTCTGCCCAGCCGCCGACGCAAAGTGTGTGTGTGTGTGTGTGTGCGCGCGCGCGCGTGTGTGTGTGTGTGTGTGTGTGTGTGTGTGTGTGTGTGTGTGTGTATGTGTGTATGTGTGTTTGTGTGTGTGTGTGTGTTTTAGCTCGGGTATCATTTTAGAGTGTCGTTCGAAAGGAGAGCTATGAACATTTTGGGTTGTGATGCCTGCCTGCGGCGTACTTACCCTGTGCGGCCACACTGCCCGCGTGGTTTGCTAGCCTGCGTCTGACGCGTCGCAATCAGCGCAGGCATTCCTCAAAACGACATGGACACACGCATAATGGAGCCTTCGTGAGTCGCAGTCCGATCACACATTTCTATGTTCTCTTTCTCTCTCTCTGTGTCTCCCTCCCTCCCTCCCTCTCTCTCTCTTGTAGACCTCTCTCTCTCTCTCTCTCTCTCACTCCCTCTATATACACGTCTATCGAAGACGCCTACGGCGAATCACCGCCGCCCCCTGCCTTTGTGGAAGCGCCTATGTGGCCGAACGTTGAGGCCAGACCTGCCAAGCCATCGGACCATGTGTTCCCCGAATCGGTTTGGAAAGCCTTCGGGGAACACGTGGGCGTCTTGATGGTCATCATCGCCGTCTTGGAGGCCTCTTGGGCGATCTTTCGGCGATCTTTGGGGGCTCTTGGGCCGTCTCGGGCCGTCGGAAGGCCGAAAGAAGGGAAATGTCCAAATCCATCAAAAACCTTGGGAAAATCAGTGATTTTGGCATCTTTTGGCCTTCCTGGAGGCCCTCTTGGGGGCCTCTTGGGCGATCTTGGGGGCTTCTTGGGCCGTCTTGAGCCGTCGGAGAGCCGAAAAGGCGCAAATGCCAAAATCCTTCAAAAACCAAGGGAAAATCAATGATTTTGGCCTCTTCGGACTCTCCTGGAGGACCTCTTGGAGGCCTCTTGGGCCGTCTGGGAGGCCTCTGGGGGGCCTCTTGGGCCGTCTTGGGCCGTCTTGGACTCTCTTGGGCCGTTTTGGAGGCCGTCTTGGACCATCTCGGGCGGACTTGGAGGCCATCTTGGGCCATCTTCGCGATTTTTTGAGGATGTCCCGAGCGAAACGGCCGTTTTTTGGAGGATTTTTTGCGGTCGTTGAGCACGTTTGGGGATTTTCCGGGTGGCCGGCGGGTTCTGCCGGAGCCCACTGGGGAGTTCTTTTGGAAAAAGAACCAAAACCAAAACCTAACAGCTTGTCCAGCACGCCGTGCACCCCTGCAAGCAGGGGGCGGCGGATCGAAGACGCCTACGGCGAATCACCGCCGCCCCCTGCCTTTGTGGAAGCGCCTATGTGGCCGAACGTTGAGGCCAGACCTGCCAAGCCATCGGACCATGTGTTCCCCGAATCGGTTTGGAAAGCCTTCGGGGAACACGTGGGCGTCTTGATGGTCATCGTCGTCGTCTTGGAGGCCTCTTGGGCGATCTTTCGGCGATCTTTGGGGGCTCTTGGGCCGTCTCGGGCCGTCGGAAGGCCGAAAGAAGGGAAATGCCCAAATCCATCAAAAACCTTGGGAAAATCAGTGATTTTGGCATCTTTTGGCCTTCCTGGAGGCCCTCTTGGGGGCCTCTTGGGCCCTTTTGGGCCAGCTTCGAGCGAACTTCGGCCATCTTGGTGGGTTCCTGGCACGTCTGACGCCGTCGGGAGCCGTTTTGGGGGCCTGTCTGGGCCAACGGGGGACCCTCTTGGGGCGCTCCAGGGCCGTCTTGGAGGCCATCTTGGGCGTCTTGGAGGCCATCTTGGGCGTGTTGGAGGCCTCTTGGGCCGTCTTGGGGCCCTCTAGGGGCCATCTTGGAGGCCACTTGGGCCATCAGGGGGCTCTCTTGGGGGCCTCTTGGGCGATCTTGGGGGCTTCTTGGGCCGTCTTGAGCCGTCGGAGAGCCGAAAAGGCGCAAATGCCAAAATCCTTCAAAAACCAAGGGAAAATCAATGATTTTGGCCTCTTCGGACTCTCCTGGAGGACCTCTTGGAGGCCTCTTGGGCCGTCTGGGAGGCCTCTGGGGGGCCTCTTGGGCCGTCTTGGGCCGTCTTGGACTCTCTTGGGCCGTTTTGGAGGCCGTCTTGGACCATCTCGGGCGGACTTGGAGGCCATCTTGGGCCATCTTCGCGATTTTTTGAGGATGTCCCGAGCGAAACGGCCGTTTTTGCGCACGGTGGCGGGTTCTGCCGGAGCCCACTGGGGAGTTCTTTTGGAAAAAGAACCAAAACCAAAACCTAACAGCTCATCCAGCACGCCGTGCACCCCTGCAAGCAGGGGGCGGCGGATCTGCATGCAGTCGGCAGCTCCCGCCACCGTGCCAGCGCAGCGCTGTGTGGCGACGCTTCGAGCACCGATGGCCGTGACATGTGGCACCTCCCGTTCCCATTCTTGGACGGGGCTCTCTCGGGAGGCTGCCTGGCCGTCTTGGGGCAGTCACGGGCTCCTTGGGGCTCTCTTGAGGCCTTCTCACCGGGCCGTCTTGATGCTGGCTTGGGTCGTCTTGGGTCCCTCTCGGCCTTCGCGTCTGTCGCAAAGCGTGTCCATCCTATCGCCGATGCTGACGGCCAGGCTAGGGATGCGCAGGGCATAGAGCTGCAGAGCCTCTGGCAGCCTGCCCAGCGGATATTCTCGGCCGTCATGAATGGCACCTGCATCTCGAATCTGTTCCTTAGCGCAGTGACGCGAAGCCGCATGGTAATTGCTTTGCCGATAACGCCGAAGCAGCAGCATGCCTGAACGATTTGGCTCGCACGACGTCGCCGACCTCGCACCAGACGCAGGCGGTTTCGACGTTCTCCCTCATGATCTCCATGTTAAGCGTGAGGGAGCCCATCACGGCGTCGTCGAGCATGTCCTCGCCGTCCTCCTCGACGTCTTCCCTGTCCTCGTTCTTAGCCCCGCTGCTTCTGCAGGGCCCTATGCTCGGCGAGCTCGTCTGCGAGGTGGCTGCATTCCTCCTCGAAGGCTTGCGTCGTGCACACGCATCCGCCCCTGCCCTGCGCCTGTGTCCAGCTGCACTTTGCCCCGCATCCGCTCCGCCTCCGCGACTGCCCTGTCGCGTTCCAAAGACGGCAGCCGCAAGCAGAACGCTGAGCTCAGCGAGGCGCGATACCTCTCACTTCTGCTCCTGCGACCGCCGTAGCTTCTGAGAGAACATGCTTCGAGCTCCTCGTCGACGGCGCCCCCTCGAGGTTCGACGAGATTGCCTGCTTCAGCCGCTCATGGTTGCACCTCAGCAGCCTGGCCTCCTTGACGACTGTCTCCGGCGTGTGCTGCTTCGCGCGCCTAGCAGAATCCATCCCGAGGGCCTCCCGTACGTTGTCGTCCTCCAGCTCGCAGCTTCCTGCGAGGCTGGGCCTGGGCCCTGCTTGGAGCCAGCTGTTCCTCCGTCCGCTGCGGGGCCTGCCTCGAGCGTGCTGAGGCGCGCGTGGGGGGGGGGGGCTCCTTGGCGCGCCTTGCGCTCGCGCTGCGCTGTGTGAGCGATGCTCGCCCTGCGGGCGCAGTGGCGACCGGTTGCGCCAGGTCCTGGACGGAGGCCCTTTCGGGAGACCTGGCGGGCGGCATGTGCCTGCGGCGGCCGGCCCTGGTGCCCGTCGTCCTCCGCCGTGGCGCCCGCCGGCGCGCCCCGCACCTCCTGCGATGTGCACTCTCTCGCGCAGACTGCCCACGGCCGCAGGCTGCTTGGAAGAGGCTCGCCCGTTGCCCGTGGCCCCCGCGGCCTCGGGCTGCGACGCCTTCCCCCGCGGGGAGGCCTCGGAGGACCCCGGGGTGCCCGGCTCCTCCTCCCTGACGGGCTCCAAGGAGACTGTTTTTTTTAGGGTCGGGCGATAACCCGGGCCATCGGGCTTGCCCACCCCCCAGGATAACCTAACCTTGCCGGTTGTGCAGGTCCGCGGGAGGGGGGGCGCGGGCGTATGCAGTGCTGCCCACAGCGCAAGGGTTAGGTCATCGGCCGGCCCCCTCCTCCCCCCCCATCCCCATCCCCCCATCCCCCCCATCCCTCCCCAGTTAGGTTATCGCCGATTCAAAATAAGAACGGTCTTTTGACGGGCTCCAAGGCGTGGCCTATCTCGAGCGGCCTGGCGTGGGCATCTTGCTCGCAGCCTCGCCGATCCCCTGGGGCCTTTTACGCTCGGCGAGCCCGCCCTGCAGGGCGCACGCGCTCCTCTCCCCGAGGGCCTGCGCTCTCTGCCCGCGCGCTGCCCGCGGCGTTCACTGCTGCGTTTTTTGGGCAGGGGGTCCACCTCTGGCCCGTTTATAGCAGCGTCCCTGACTTTGTAGAGGACGGTCAATGGAGAGGGAGCATGCTGCCAAGTAATTTCCAGATGTCTAAACATTGTTTCAAACATGTTTTACTCATGTAAAAATCAGGTTTGACATATTTTCAGAACATTTTCCCGACATTTTAAACACTTTCTAAACTCAATGATAGGACTGTTAGGGTGTTCATTGTCGTGGCATCCACAACCCTAACTCCTTCGCAGGGTGCCTGCGCCTCTTCCTCCGCCGGCTCGGTCTTCTCCAGCGCCTCCCTCAGTGCTTTGGTTTTGGGCGCCGTCCAGGCGGCCTTGCGTGAAGGTTTCCGCGGCCCCCGCTGGCGCCTCGAACATCACTGGCACGGCGTGGCCTGGCGCATTTTCGTCGAGGTGCGGATGGACGTTCCCCACATGCGAGTGGGCGTGAGATAGGCCATTCCTGATCGTCGCGCCCCCTCGTCGGTCACATTCGCGGGCAGGTGTTCCGTGAGCTAGGCGAGCTCACAGTGTCATAGAGGCAACACAATTTGGAGCGTGCCGTGCATCGTGCCCGCGGCCCGCGCCGCCTTGATGGAGAGACCCTTGGTCTGCTCGGCGTGCTGCTTCAGTTCTCGTGCCGTCTCTTCGTGCACCAAGTCCCTGGCTCCCTAGCTGCCTCGGCATCGGAGTCGCCGTCGGATTTGTCCGGGCTGGGCTGCGCCTGCTGCCGCGGCCGCGCCGGTTCCGACTCCTCTCGCTTCTCTTCTGCTTGCTCGTAGACGACGCCCACGGCCCGGATAGGCATCCCTACGTACGCCGCCCTGATCAGGCGGTCATCTGCGATCTCCGCTCCTCGCCGTCACTGGTCGATTCGCGGCCGATGGCGGTCTCAGTCACCTCCTCTGACCGCTGCTTTACGGTAGCGCTGTGCGGCGGTGCCAGGCAGGTGCTGGCGATCTCTGTCGCCGACCATGGCTGCTCCACTGAGGGCTCCGACTGCTGGTCCGCGGTGGCGCCAGACTCTTTCGCCTGGCGGCACACCGCGATCTCTGTCGCCGAGCTCGTCTGCTGCTCAGCGGCGTCACCAGACCTCTCCGGCACCAAAGAGCCCGCTTCCCTGAGATTTGTGGAAGTTGATTAATGGAGAGGAAGCATGTAGCCAAATAGTTTCCAGATAACTAAAGGATGTTTCAAACATGTTTTTTGGTCCACAATTTAATACAACAGGTTTGAAACATTTTTATAACATGTTTTACACACTTTAAGCACATCTTGTGTCAATGATAGGATTGTTAGAGTGTCCAGTGTCATGGCATCCACAACCTGAGACCCACGGGGAGGGGTCGGTGGTTCCCCCGCGCCAGCGCGCCCTCCACCTCTGGCACCCCTTCTTGGAGCCTCTGCGGGGGCGCCGTCTGGGCAACCCGTGGCAGGGTCTCCCGCGGCCTCCGCTGGCGCCCTGTCTTCATCCTCAGACACGAGGGGCACGCGCATCTTCTGCCACCAACTACGCTGTGGCCGCCTCGCAGGGGTTGGGGCTTGCGGTTTTGCTACGCCGTGCTCTCTCGCCTTCTCTCCTCTTGCATGGGGCTCAATGTGTGCGCGTTGCGACCCGCGTGACGCATTTACCAGGATACAGCGTCTGTCGCCCGTGCCGGCTCAAGTCCCAGGGCTTGTGAGCAGGGGGCCTGACCAGACACCTCGCTGACCAAAAAGCGAGTGTCAGATTGCTTGAGCAATCTGATCCCCTCCCTTTCGTTTGCCGCCCTCTTTTTCTCTCTTTCCCTTTCCCCGCTGGCCTCCCCATTTCCCTGCCCTCCTTGGCTCTGCCTTGCCCTCTCTTCCCCTCCCGCTTCCCCTCTCCCCTGCCCCCCTCCGCTCTGTCTTTCCCCCTTTCGCTCCCGCACCCGATTGCTCTCCTCCACTGCTCCGTCCTGCCCCGCCCTCCCACGGAGGAGGAGGAGGAGGAGGAGGAGGAGGAGGAGGAGGAGGAGGAGGAGGAGGAGGAGGAGGAGGAGGAGGAAGAAGAGGAGGAGGAGGAAGGAGGAGGAGGAGGAGGAGGAGGAGGAGGAGGAGGAGGAGGAGGAGGAGGAGGAGGAGAGAGGAGGAGGAGGAGGAGGAGGAAGAGACGAGGAGGAGGAGGAGGAGGAGGGAGAGGAGGAGGAGGAGGAGTAGGAGGAGAGGAGGGAGGGAGGAGGAGGAGGAGGAGGAGGGGGGAGGGAGGAGGAGGAGGAGGAGGGGGAGGGGAGAGGGGGAGGGGGAGGGGGGAGGGGAGGGGGAGGGGGAGGGGGAGGGGGAGGGGGATGGGGGATGGGGGATGGGGGATGGGGATGAGGAGGAGGAGGAGGAGGAGGAGGAGGGAGGAGGAGGCGGAGGAGGAGGAGGAGGGGAGGAGGAGGAGGAGGAGGAGGAGGAGGAGGAGGAGGAGGAGGAGGAGGAGGAGGAGGAGGAGGAGGAGGAGGAGGAGGAGGAGGAGGAGGAGGAGGAGGAGGAGGAGGAGGAGGAGGAGGAGGAGGAGGAGGAGGAGGAGGAGGAGGAGGAGGAGGAGGAGGAGGAGGATGGAGGTAAGAGGAGGAGGAGGAGGAGGAGGAGGAGGAGGAGGGGAGGAGGAGGAGGAGGAGTTAGGAGGAGGAGGAGGAGGAGGAGGAGGAGGAGGAGGAGGAGGGGGAGGGGGGGAGGAGGAGGAGGAGGAGGAGGGGGAGGAGGAGGAGGTGCCCCCCCCCCGCCTGGATCGGCGCCGCGCCTCCCAGGAGCCCGAGGTCCGCGAGCTGTGCGCCCACTACGGGGCGCTCCGGGAGGTGCGGGCGCACGGGGCACCGGGCGCCTTCGCCGTCGCCTTCGCCACCGCCGAGGCGCCAGGGGGCCGCTTTGCAATGGGGAGGGGGAGGGCTCGCTCAGGACGGTCAGGGGCTGCCCCCGCCACCTTGCCTCTGGATCTCTTCGCACCTGTGACCTCTTCTTGCTTCTGGCCTCCCGTTCTGCTCCCCCCCCCACCCTCTCTCCTGCCCCGTTCTTGCACCTTCGTGCCCCGCCTGCTTCCCGCCTTCGAGCAATCCCCTCCCTTTCCTCTGTCTACTCCTGCCTCTCTTCCATGATTTCTCCTTCGCCATTGTGGCGCAGACTTGGGTTGCAAGTGGATCACTAGCTCGCCCCGCCGCAGAAGTACCGAATCCATCGCTAACGGCAGAGCCAGCAAGACCGCTGTCACTCCAAGAACTGCCCACCCATTGCCCACCCACACCTGCCCACCCACTCACACCTGGATGCCCACCACGTGAGTCCTCTTCTTGATCCTCCTTGTGCGATGATCTGCTAAGGCACTGAAGGGAGGACTGCTGTTCGAACGCTGCTTGGCATTGACGCCGAAGTAATAGAGGGGGCTTTGAATGGGGCCCTGTCTGCCCTCTGCTACGGCCGGCCGACAGCGATTTCCATGGAGCTCCAACCTCCTCCTCCTCCTCCTCCTCCTCCTCCTCCTCCTCCTCCTCCTCCCTCCTCCTTCCTCCTCCTCCCCCTCCCCTCCTCCCCTCCTCCTCCTCCTCCTCCTCCTCCTCCTCCTCCTCCTCCTCCTCCTCCTCCTCCTCCTCCTCCTCCTCCTCCTCCTCCTCCTCCCCCCTTCCTCCTCGTCCTCTGGTTTTCTTCATGCAGCCTCCTCCGCGGACGGCCCGTGCCAGGCTGCGGCGCGGGCGTCGTCGGCGCTGGACGGCCTGCAGGCGCGCCTGCGGGATTCGGGTGGGTCGGGCCGTGGGGGCTGCTCACCAGCCAGGCTGCTTTGCTTATCGGGGGCATGAAACGTCCGCGATTCGAACACTTCGATTTCGCATTGCGAGGGCAGCGCGCGATTGTGATCGAGGTGAGACTCACGAGGAGGTCGAGGATTTGGTTTGAGGGTCTACGGGCTGTTCAGGAAGTTCAGGATGTACCGGACCCACTCAGGAGGCGTAGGCTCTATATACCGCGAGCCCCCTCCCACGTTCATTGGGCGCCTGTGTTGCCACGGTGGGTGCCCCGACCGCGAGGTGCCGGGGGACGACGGCGGCCTCTGCGACGTCTGCTGTGCGCGGCCAGCCGCCCAGGTGGCCTGGGGGGGGGGGGCTCTGCGGCCTGCTAGGCCATTCCAGCAGTACGAAAAGTGTATGCGCTGTGTAGGCTGGAGCACAGCTGCCCAATATGGAGGAGTGCAGTGTGTAGGCAGGGTGATGTTTCGACCTCTGTGGAAGCTGCAGTACACGAGCCAGGTGTCATGCTAGAGCTGTAGGGATTGCGATCGTTGATCTTGATTTGCGTGTGGGAGATGGCCGATGTGAGCGGGGGAGCCAGGTGAAGAGCAGCAGTGGTGAGGTGAAGATTCTCCTCCCTGTTCTTGCTCCTGGGCACGAGAGCATCCCCGTTGCTGTCCCCTGGGTGGGTATCGAGCGACAGTTCGTGGGAAGAGCAAGCTGCCGTACCCGGGCCTCCCTCCTACACTTCGCCGGCATACTATCGAAATGTGCCGTGGCCGCCGACCCTCAGCTAGAAACCCTCAGCTAGAAACCCTCAGCTAGAAAACTTGGAATCGACTGAGGAAGATCCACCCCGACAACCATAGTTCAGCTTCCCTTGGAAAGGGCCCCAACCGCAGGGGTCATCGTATTCTGCGGGGTGGACTTCCGCAGTTGCAAGAGGCGACAGTTGACATGGAGAGGGGAGGAGACTGGGAGAGCAGCAGACGACAGCGACAGACAGGACCCCCCAGCACGAGACCCAATCTGGCAGACCATCATCCCACCCACCTTCCCAGGACTCAGGGTAGGCTTCGATGCGCGGCGAGGATGGGGGCCAGCGCCTCTGGCACCCTACCTTCCCTGCTGCCCAGACCCAGTCGCCTTTCAGTGAGGTCCAGGCCGTCCTCCGCCACGGCCAGCGAGGTATTGCCTGCTGCACACGCTACTCGTCCTGGAGCACGAGCCAGGTTGTGAAGTTCAGGCAGGTCGCCCGTGCGAGCGGTCAAGGAAACGAGAAGAACTTTGCCAGCCGCGCGCTCCGCGCCCCCTCAACCCCTTCCTCCTCTTTCTCGTCTTCTTCTTCGGCCGCGATGGAACGCCCCTGGTCGGTGGTCAGCCATGGCGCCCTGGTGCTGGCGATCGCTCCGCCGACGCCGACTGCGGCATCGGCAGCCCGGGCGGCTGCCGCAATGGCCGCCGCCTCGGCGGACGACACGGCCTCAAGCGCCACCGCTGCCCCCGCAGCCACTGTGCCCCCGTCGGCGCCGCTGACGCCGCTCGGGCAGATCGGCTTGGACTGAAAGCAGCCTGACAGCCTGCACATCATCGATGTCAGCATGATCTTCAGCGAGAACATCCGCACCGAGCGGGACGACACTGTTCACCCGACGGACGCCCATATCCTGTTCCAGTTCAAGCTGAGCACCGGCGGAGACCAGGTCGACGAGTACAGGAACAGCCTCATCCTTGGCACGATCGAGGCAACCATCGTGACAACGCTCGTCATGACGTTGCTCCGCGGCACTGGGATGGGCAGCCCAACGTGCCGCCGATCCGCGCTCGAGAATTTCTATCCTGGGGGAGCGGCAGCAGCCCAGCGTTGCTGGCGGACAATGCTTCCGTGGACAGGGCTCTGACTGGGATCATTCCCCACTTCCCAGCCCCTGGGCCTTGGGGGAATGGCCAGTGTCCCAAGGCAGGGCTGGACCCAAACGGTGTTTTTGGTGATTTCGTGGGCCGTTTTCGCTTCGACTTCGTTTTGCAGCAACGGCGGACTGGAGACAAAAGCGGGGGCAAACGAAAACAAAACGAAACCGAAAAACGCCGTTTGGGTTCAGCCCTGTCCCAAGGGGTGCGCGGAGCCAGCGTCTTGGGGCGCTCCGGCAGCCGACGGGGGGCCACCGTTCTCCATGCACGACCCCCCCCCCCCGGCGCAGGTCCAGGTTCCCTTTGCCCACCCCCAGCCCTCTCCACGGCATCTCAACGCCCCGTCCTCTCTGGAGCCGCCCGGTCGGGGAGCCTGCAGGACATACACGAAGGCTGTGTGCTTCTGTGGAGACATCGACCTCGGTGGTGCTGGACGCGGCCCCCAGGTCCATGGTCGACAGCACCGACTCCGTCGCCGACGCCACTGCCGACGTCAACATCGTCGACGCCAACATCACCGACGCCAGCACCGATGCCAGCTCCAACTCCAGCAACCACGACAGCGAGGATCCAGCTGAGGATAATCGCCAAGTCGACCACCTCGAGCTCCACTACAGACAGGACCATGCCTTCGCCCATGACATCGGCCGCATGGCTTCGGAAGAGCTCACTCAGCCCCTCCTTGAGGTGCCCCTTCAGGCAGAAGGATTAGGACCCTCAGGAGGCATACTGGATTCAGTTTTACAGAACTGGGTTGTCATCTCCTACGCGGGGATCGGGGGCAGCACAAACTCCAGCACCTGGGATACCGCCAGCGCCAGCACTCACGCCAGCACCTACGACACCACCAACGACTGCACGAACACCAACATCAGCACCGACACTCAGGACAACACCGATGAGAGCGACCACGTCAGCATGGACGTCTGCAGACAGATCCGCGCCAACACCGACGCCGACACCCAAAGCTGCAATGGTGTCAGCGCCGACGCCACTACTCACGCCGTTAATTGGGCCAACGTCACCGCTTGCTCCCAAGAGGTGATGCAGATCTTCGTGAAGACGCTCACGGGTAAGACAACTACGATCTACATGGCAGTCAAGGACGTGGTCGACGGCACAAGGGCAAAGATCCATGACAAGGAAGGCGTCCCTCCTGCGGTCCAACGGCTTTTTTATTTTGGCCGGCAACTGGGGGGCAGCCGCAAGGGACTACAACGTTCAGAACACTCTACCCTGCACTCGGTACTGCGCCGGAGGCCCGGCCACCCTATTGCATCGGACTGCAAGCGCCGGACGCCCTCCTATTCTTTTTGCCAGCACGTTGCTTGCCCACTCTGGAGGTCTAGCTCCAGGCTCGGGCCGATGCCGATCCTGCAACATGAAACGGCAGCGGCAGGCTCCAGCCAAGACGCAGCCTGGACATGCCGAGGGGTCTGGATTGCCACCAAGTGCTCCGAGCGATCCACTAACCAGCTCGCAGGACGACAGGCTGGCGGAGGGCGCCCCTGCGCTGCCAGCAGACACATGGATGTCCATGGATGTCCAAGCGAATGGGGTGATTGACCGTAACCGGCGCCGGGGCCGACAACGACCTCTCAACACCGACAGTGCTCGCACCTTCGACCAGGACTCTGCCAGGTTACCTCCTCCAGGGGCCGACCTTCCTCCAGCTATGGACGAGCGAAGATCACCTCGTGTTCCACGCAGACATTGTGGCGGCCACTCGAGCCATTACGGCCGACCTGCCAGCTCTACAGCCAGGACGTTGGTTCAGTTCCTTGGCTGCCTTGCGTAAAAGTCCAACAAGTCAAGGAATCAGCATTGGGCAGTTCTCTACCCTGGGAGCGTCTTGGGCTTTATCGAGGCCGAAGTTCGTCTGGAGACCTGTCTCTTGGAGGCACTTGGCCAGCGGCCGGGTAATGGAGCTTTATATAACCAGTGTGAACAGGAGGCCGCACGATCCTGGGAGGATGGTATGGAGTGCCGCTCGCTCCTCCCATCCTTGCCTAAATCACGACGTCGGCGAGCAAACGACAATGAGATTTCAGGAGTCAGGAGGTAAAGAAACACGCAGACACAATTAATCGTCGATTCCCCAGAAAATATGGGAAAATATGGGAAGTGGGGGGGAAGACGAAAACCCAGAACATATGGGATAATATGGGGAATGCTTTTATTTGTATGTATTTATTTGTGTGTCCTGGGGCCCCTTCAAGGAGGTTGAGCGCTCGTTCCTGCAGTACCTGCTCATTGAAGTCTCCGCCGCCGCAGGTACGCAGCTAGCCATCCAGTGCTCCAACCTACAAAATCTACCATCCCCGGCTTCCCCGCATCTGCTGACCCAGGAAACCGGGCGACGTCTTCAAACGGCACTTACCCAAGATGCTCGCAAAGCGGCGGAGATGTTCGGGACACTCGCAGCCACACGACAATTCCATTTGCTGGGCTCCAGAGGAGTCCACGGAAGTCGGCAGAACCATGGCTTCGCTCAATCTGGCACGACGTGCGGACGCAGGCCTCCGTCTACAGCCGGCCCGGATTAGTAGGTCGACCCTGCCAAATCAAGGGTACCCTTGTGTCCTGAGCTTCGCGATCCACGCCTTCTTACATTCCTATGGCAATGTGGCCCTCGTAAGGGTCTTGTGTCCTCTCGCGGGCCCTCTCCAATCAATCCCGACTGTATCTCTACTGGTCTTTCGACCTGTTCTGCCTGGTTCGCCGTCGCCTCAGACGATCTGCAACTACTGGAGCCCTCCAGCAATGCAGTGCCCAGCCCGGAAGATGATCGAGGGCGTCCAATGATTGGAACCACCAGTGAGGGTCATCACGGTGGGCTCCCTGGGACCACGTGTGGTCGAGCAACTTCTCGTGCTGATCACGCATGGGGCCGTCTCGGAAACGCTACCGAGCCCAAGAGTTCTTCACCGGGCAGAGCTGCCGCGCGGTGTCGCTCCCACTGCGGCGCTCGTGCTCGATGTCCCCACGGGGGTCGCAGACGGTATTGCGCAGCTGTCGGCCACTGCCCTGGCTGGCGCGGCACGGGGATGGAGCCGTCCTGCGCCGAGCGCTGGGGGTAAGCTTCACCGCTGGGTGATGTTTGGATATGCGGGCACTGCCGACGAGATACCAATCCTTGAAGCGGTCCTGACCGTCAGGCGGATCCAGGACGCCTTGCGAGGTTTTTCACAAGTGGTGGTAGGTCACACCTCGCTGCTGCACGACCCCGCTGCCCTGACCGTTTACACGCGCCACGCGGCGACCACATGCAAGTCTGGCTGGCCGATTCGACCAGCTCGTGTTACTCACACAGCGACGTGGGCTACTCACGACCTCCACCCCTCGAAGCACATGGCAACAGCTGCTAGCCACGCAGTCGACCGAGGCGCAAGATGCGAGGATTACACGGCTATCTGGGAGACACAGCACTCGAGGGGTCGACCATT